TGTTGATGCTGTAATTCAGCAGCTGACACTTTTGAACAGCTGTAGCATGACTGCCCTGTGATAGATCTTTTGTAAATAAATATTCAGATAAAGCACTGCAATCTGAAGCTTCCCTCCATAAACTGGTATTCTTAATAGAAACAAACCCTTTTCTCATCAGACTTCCTGCTGCAATGCAACTGCATTGCTCTACATGCTCATTTTGGATGACAGAGTACCCACTTGTCACAGTAATGACCTGAATGAATTCAAGAAAGAAGGGACAATCACTTTGCAAACATGCCCATCCAGCAAATGCACTGTTGTTTTTCCTCACTACTGTTTAATAATTTAGACTACAACAATATATATATATTCACTGACATGGTAATACATAAATCTAAACCCCCAAGCCAATACTTTGGTTTTTGAAGCCAAGCAGAAATAATGCTGCTCTCACTTGCATTCCAAACCCTGCAGCACTACGTGGATTGTCAGTGTCTCTGCCCCTGCTCTGCCTGTGCCCTCTCCTGGTGGCAGAGCACACAGGACAAATGTGGTTACACCAACACCTCCCCTGCACAACATTTCCTGATGCCAAGTGCAAACAGCTTTCTAAAGTAAACCAGACCAAGATTCCAAGCCCGATGGTGTTCCAAAAAGGTGACATAAAACTTGTCACTAGGTCTGTAAGATCAGTGGTGAGCACACCCCTACAGCTCTGCTCCCCACACTGCCTCATTTCTGCTGGGACAGGGCCTGGGGCTCTTCTCTCTCAGAGGAGGAGGAGGAGGCTCCCTTTGGGATCCCCCACCTCTGCACAGAGCCATGGCTCTGAGCTGCATGGCACCACGGTTTGAAAATGCTGCTGAGGCAAGCCAACACCTCTGGAAAGCCAGGAGCAGGGATTTGAACCTTGCCAGGCTGCATCTGGCCAGGAAGCAGACCAGTGCTCCGTGCCACCTGCTTGGCTCTTATAACCACAGTCCCACTGCCACAGTGGGAAGCACAGGGGACCAATGCCCTCATTCATGGCAGGGCTCAGGTGACACAAAGATCTGTTTGTCAGGCTAAGCTGGTTCCCAGCTGTAAGGAGCTTTGTTTCTGCAGATGAGAGGTACTGAGCCAGGTCAGGGTTGGCCCAGCTGCCAAGAAAATAAGCCCTGCAAGAATCCCAAGCGACTACAGACCAAGCACTAAGCCTGAAACAGTGAGTTCTGCCAGGTCTGAGCCAAGTGAGACATATGTGCTCAAGAGACTCATTTGAGAAGGGCAATACAGGCACACTTCAATTCTGGCCAGGGCCAGCTCAGCCCAGAAGACCAATTACCTCAGAACCAGTTCCAGGCAAGTATTGCTGTACATTGCTGATCAAATCTGGCTCTGTGATTCCTTACTCTGCCTGATCTAAACAATTAAAGGGTCTGGAGGCTCTAATTTGGTTTCTCAGGAACCATTTACAGTACAGAACTATAAAGTAGTTCTGTTATGACATGGTTTCCCCCCTATTCTCCAGCATATCCTAGTCACTATCACTCCCGGCAGTCAGATGGAAGCTCAGCATGCTCTCTGAAATTGAGTCAGGCCATGCATTGGTGAGGGAAAGGTGACTGTGTATTAATGGCAAGCACCATCACCCCTTCCTTCAGTCCTGTTCTAGAATAAGAGTGAGTCAGGCTCTTTTGCAGAACTAGTTAAACACACCAGCTCCAAAAGAAGATTCTGGAGCATATAGCCTCAGGACTGCCTTGCTGGAGTCACAGAGAGGTTTCAGATACATCTCCTTTCCTCAGAATTTTCAATTGCTAAGAACCAAACAACCTCTACAATGGTTATCCAGGTTTAAGGTGTGTCTGTCTTTAGTGCATTTTATATGAAACAGAATTCAGTGCTTGGACTTCAGTTTGAGATAAGAACCTAAAAGTCATTGTGTCAGTGTTGAGGCTCCTCAGTGAGGCTCAGCATTTAATTTCTGTTTTTGCTCATTTTCTGCAGAAGGAGAATGATACTCAGCTCCCTGTGAGGAAGGGGAGTATTTAAATTGACAAAGCACCCAAGTACTTTAGCAAAGAAAGTGGAAAGCTGAGAGGTCATACAAAGTTATTGATTAATGATTATTTTGTTTTTTCATCTACATATGCTTTCCTAGCTCACATAAACATTTTAGACCTCATCTGAAAACAGGAAAAAGAAAACCTTTAACATGCATTTTGCAACCAAGAAACAAGGAGGAACCCAACATGATGAATAGGCCATTGTCCCAGGCAGTCTGCTGGCACTGCAGCCTGGGAGACTGGCTGGCAGCTGTGTGGCACAGCTCAAAAGCAACAGGCCATCCTCAGCCACCCCATGGGGAAGGGCTGCTTCTTGAGAAACAAAAAATCACTCTGTTCAGTTTTGCCTTGACAAGTACATCACCTTCTACATTGCTTTGTGTCAGCAAAAAGGTGAATGAACATGCTTGAAGCAATGAAGTCTTAAAAATCTCAAAGCAATAATTAGGAAACTTCTGTTCCTCCAGATTATCACTGATGGAATTAATTTTTGCCTATGTGTTAGCATCATAATTTGGTGTCTTGGTTCATGCCTCACTTTTAAATGATTCTTCTCTTTATTGCCATGGATAATTTGTGCCAGTGTCTGGCTCTAGAATTACTATATAATTTCACATACAGTAAATCATTGTGTGATATTCCCAGGAAAAGCACATGGTTTGTGTTACACCTGCATCCACAACTCCTGCAAAGATATTCTGGCTATTTGTACCAATATGGAAACCTAGATAAAATACAGTTATTGTTTCTATCTACCTTGATTTTATAATTCTTGATTCTGACAAAACTAAGCAAAAATTATGAGAAGACCCCCAAATATTTGGGTTCATTACAGAAAGTGGTAGCAAAATTACAGATTTCACCTGCTCTTACGGAAACATAGGATGGTGTGCAGGAGTTCACTGAAATAATCTGAAATTTGCAACTCTGTAAATTAGTCTGGACTCTGCTGAAAACAGATGCCTCAAGTCTATTTCTCTTGTGCATGGAAGAGTACAGGGCTTTCCACCTGCAAAGCAAAGTCACTGCAGAACTTTGTCAAGCCACAGGGATGACGCTCTGCACACTTTCCACTGATGGAAATGCCTGGAACAGTACAAGAAGACAAAAGTAGGACCTAGAGAGTTGTCAGTCTTTATTTCATTCCCCTTATACTCCAGACTTCTTGTGAATTGCATGGATTTGGCTTTGCTCCTTATGGCTATCACACCCTGAGGCTTCTAGATACCAACAGGATTTCCAGGACATGTTCTTGTGTTGAAGAAATATTGAAGAAAATTAAAGCAGCAGAGTGCTGTGTTGGTTTCTGTCCTGCAGATCAGTCACAAGCAGCTGTTGTGCACAGAGCAGGGTCTGGCTTAAAGTGTCACTTATCACATGAATACAAGGAATCATCACTGCAAGATAAAGTACAAGAAGGACCTGAATGAAGAACCTCTGGCATGGTAATTCCAATTTTCTGAACTGCTTTTCCCATCTGCAATTAATTCCTCCTCCTCAAAGAACTATGCCTTGAGTATTAGTGCCACATACTGGAAATCAGGATAACATACTCACTTGAAAATATTTCATAACACAAAATGAAGGTGCACTGGCTTTATGATGTATAGTTAATGAAATAGCAGGATTTATCTTTCTAAAGCTAGTTATCTATATGTTGTAGTTGTATTGTTCTATAAATTATAAAAGAATTTCTTAATTGCATGATAAAATTTTTTTGCTCCTTAAAGAAACAAGAGATTCAAACTGTGTGTCAAATTAAGTTACTTGCCCTTGAGAGTTAGTAAATCAAATCATCTGTCATAACTGCGCTTAAAAACCCCAACTCAAGTGGTTGTCCCTTGGAACTGTTGGATTTTACTATTTTTCCTATGTTTTGACACCCTCTCCCTTAAAGGGGGATTGCTGTTCACCAGACCAATGTTCACTGCAGCATCTTAGGAGCTGCAGTACAAACACACACATCTAGGCTGCTTTTTCTCTTCACCAGCACAAAGTTTGTTGAGGTTTGTAGTGATTTGTTAAATTCTCAATAGCATTACCAAGCTAATTTATTCAGCTTCCAGAACAAAACTACTGGGTACACCAAATGTGAGTTTTATCTCACTGATAAAATTCAGTGTAATTAGGGAGGTATAACTGAAACTTAAGTCACAGGTTAGGAAAAAACCTTAAAGTTTTGTAGGAAGTTCTGAACTCCCTATCCAAGTAAGACAAAGCGAGCTCACACCATTAATTTTTGTTTTATGGTGAAAATACAAGAAACACTTCTTTTTATCACTTATAGTCCAATAATTAGGTGCTATTAAGATTGCTCATTATGCTATCCAAAACTTTATAGTCAAATGTAAATGTAATAAGTAAAATATTCTATCAACCAGGCAAAATCTAATCACTTGAAGATCCTTGCTACTTTATTACAAAAATAAGCTTCATATCTTAGGTAAACTTTAAAAGAACACACAGCTTCCAAAAAAAACCCACCTCACATAAAAATTCAAAAAGGTGCACACCAGGAACACTTGCTCTTTAAACCAATTCCTTTGTTCTCCAGTTAAAATTTTAGTCTTCTCTAATGCTAAGTGCTGGTTAGGCCTGAGGTCTTTCTTTTGTTTTCTTTAATTCCTACAGCTTTATAGTTACCCATCTCTGGCTGTTCTGGCTGAATACCAGGTTTGGCTGAGCACTCCAACACCAAACAAGGCAATGTGAAATCCCACCTACAAGTTGAGCTGTAAAACTGGCAGCCGAACTGCCCAGCTCTGAGACACGCCAGCCCCGGGGACCAAGGGCTCTGCCCCGGGCAAGAAAGGAACCACACAGGCAGGGCTGTCAAGGTACGCTTTAAAGGTTTTTATTCTCAGTGGAAGAGCCCAACGGAGCAGTGACAGCAGCAGGGGAATCACAGAATCAGTTAGGTTGGAAAAGATTTCTGAGATCATTGAGTCCAACCTGTTCCTGGCACAGTCTGAGATTACACCCTCGGGTCCTGTCGCTGGTTGCCCAGGAGAAGAGGCTGATCCCACCAGGCTACAGCCTCCTGTCAGGTGGAATTGGGGAGGGCCCAATTCCTTTCCACAGTCCCGATGCTCTGGTGTCATCCCACTCCTCATGTGGCACAAGCTCACCCTGCAAGCCCTCAGGATTCACAAGCCACCTCTCCCGAGTCCAGCAAACCCGGCAGCCTTCCCCATGTCCAGTTCTGGGCTCAGAAGGAGCTCCTGGAGCCGCTGCAGCAGAGGATGATCGAGAGACTGGAGTGTTTCATGAGGAGAAGCTGAGGGAGCAGAGCGTCTTCAGCCTCGGGAGGAGGTGAGCTCAACAAGGTGTCAGAGGATGGAGCAGGCCCTTCTCAGGTGGTGCTGAGCGACAGAACAGGAGACAACGGGCAGAAACTGATGTGCAGGAAGGTCCACCTGAGCATGAGAAAGAACTTTCCCGTGCAACGACCGCTCACTAGAACGATTGCCCATAGAAGATGTGGAGTCGCCTTTACTGGAGATGCCCCAGAACCCCCTGGACGCAGCCGTGTGCCACGTGCTCTGGGACGACCCTGCTGGCGCTGGGAAGTGCGGCCAGGGGATCAACTGTGGTCCCTTTCCGCCCGAACGGTTCTGTGATTCCCCTCACGGTCCCCAGCCCACCTGCCCCGCTCCTCTCACCCCCCGCCTCTCTCCCCCTC